TAAATTATTTTTTACAAAAAGTTAATTTCTCTCATTTACAATAATAATTTTAGTATTTGATTATTCTCAACAAGGTAATAATTTATTATTTCACAAAACTGAAATAGATAATTAACGATTCAATAATATATTCATATTTAACTAAGATGTGAAAATAATAAGTATGATAAGAGTAATTTTTCTTTTACATTATTTCAATATATGAAAATTTAATTAATTTACGATTATTATAAAAAATAATTTATTGGGCAATTAGTTTACGCCCACTGCTTTGGACTTCAAAATTAGCTTATTTCTTGTAATGTGAATTCTTAGGCCTTGTTGAATATTTCATGGCAGATCATACATTCCTTACAATTTTCTATTTTTTTACTTTTCCTCTATCTCCTCATCATTCCTTACTATCCACCTCTTAAAGTTTTCATGATCCTTTTTTTTTTACTTTTATGCAATTTTATTATTGTTATTCTAAATCATTAATTTTTAATTGGGCTTCTTCATAATTTAACAATTTATATTCTGATTCCTTTCTAATTAATTTAATTGTTTATTAAATCGAATATTTTTTATCAAATGCTTCATAAATTGTAGCAATTTCTAAGAAGTCATAAATTTATTTTTTTTATTATATTGAATCTCCCTCTTTATTAATTCATCTACTTTAATCAATATCGTTAGGATCTATTAGAATAAATTATTCTATCTAAAAATACCTACCACTTTTCTTTATTTCATATTATAACCCAATTTTGAAAAGAATGATTAATTTATGCTAAGATTATCTTTTTTTTTGTATTAACTTCCATGTATGAATAATTTATTCTTGCTGACATTAAAAATACTTCTAATTTTGTTCTAGTTAAAATAGCAAGACAGTTAAGATATTCAAATTAGTTCCTTCTTCTCTTCCTATTACCTTTCTTTTTGTTATTTTACCTTCTAATTGATAATTACCATTCCACTTCTTATATAGAGAAAATGAATCAAGGAAACCATATGAAAATATTTCAAAAGTCTAATAAATGTCCTTGTAGTTATCCCAAACTTATTCTTTCCCTATTATCACTGCTTCTTCCCTTCTTATCTATTTAATTTAACTAATTTTTAGTCAATAATCTAATCTTTAGATTCTTCTTTGGATTACTTTAATAAATTAATTATCCAAGACTTTGGAAGAAAAGAGTATATATTAACATTAGTTTTTGAGGATTTATGCTTTTGTTTATTTCCTCAAATTAAATAAATAATAATTAAATTTTGTCTTTTCTTTACTAATGCAATACCTAAAAATGCTCTGAAAAATTCCATATTATTTTATTAATTGGTCATCTATATCTGTAATATATATTTTGACATTCTAATAAGAGTCAATTTAATTGCAAAAGTTTTTATCTTTAAATTCTATATAATAACTTTCTTAAATTAAAGTTTATCTCTTGAATTTCAGCAGTTTTTTCATTAGTTCTGTANTCATGGCAGATCATACATTCCTTACAATTTTCTATTTTTTTACTTTTCCTCTATCTCCTCATCATTCCTTACTATCCACCTCTTAAAGTTTTCATGATCCTTTTTTTTTTACTTTTATGCAATTTTATTATTGTTATTCTAAATCATTAATTTTTAATTGGGCTTCTTCATAATTTAACAATTTATATTCTGATTCCTTTCTAATTAATTTAATTGTTTATTAAATCGAATATTTTTTATCAAATGCTTCATAAATTGTAGCAATTTCTAAGAAGTCATAAATTTATTTTTTTTATTATATTGAATCTCCCTCTTTATTAATTCATCTACTTTAATCAATATCGTTAGGATCTATTAGAATAAATTATTCTATCTAAAAATACCTACCACTTTTCTTTATTTCATATTATAACCCAATTTTGAAAAGAATGATTAATTTATGCTAAGATTATCTTTTTTTTTGTATTAACTTCCATGTATGAATAATTTATTCTTGCTGACATTAAAAATACTTCTAATTTTGTTCTAGTTAAAATAGCAAGACAGTTAAGATATTCAAATTAGTTCCTTCTTCTCTTCCTATTACCTTTCTTTTTGTTATTTTACCTTCTAATTGATAATTACCATTCCACTTCTTATATAGAGAAAATGAATCAAGGAAACCATATGAAAATATTTCAAAAGTCTAATAAATGTCCTTGTAGTTATCCCAAACTTATTCTTTCCCTATTATCACTGCTTCTTCCCTTCTTATCTATTTAATTTAACTAATTTTTAGTCAATAATCTAATCTTTAGATTCTTCTTTGGATTACTTTAATAAATTAATTATCCAAGACTTTGGAAGAAAAGAGTATATATTAACATTAGTTTTTGAGGATTTATGCTTTTGTTTATTTCCTCAAATTAAATAAATAATAATTAAATTTTGTCTTTTCTTTACTAATGCAATACCTAAAAATGCTCTGAAAAATTCCATATTATTTTATTAATTGGTCATCTATATCTGTAATATATATTTTGACATTCTAATAAGAGTCAATTTAATTGCAAAAGTTTTTATCTTTAAATTCTATATAATAACTTTCTTAAATTAAAGTTTATCTCTTGAATTTCAGCAGTTTTTTCATTAGTTCTGTATAGTGAGGTAAATTATTTCTAATTTCATTTTTAATTTATGGAACTTTACTTTACTTAATTCTTGGGTCTCAATTCTCTTTAAACTTACCTCTTGCTATATAGTTTAAATTTATTTTTTTTCTTTTGATCACCACAAAAAAATAATGACATGAAAATATATTAAATATTTTCTTATAATCAATTCCTTTTAAGTATAATATGATTGAAAGTGAAGTTTATGAGAAAGACTGCCGTCTTAATATTAAATGCCCTCATTGTGAAAAAGATATCAAAACAAATCTTGAACATGAATGTGGAGTCAATACATGGCTGATGTGCTTCTTTTTGTGTGTTTTGACTGCGTAAAATTTATCATTAGATAGTTGTTGCTGTTTTATACCATTACTAAGTAATAAATTTAAAGATGTTATTCATACATGTCCTTTTTGTAAAAATGAGGTTGGAATAAAAGAGTTTGAAATGTGCTGATATTTTATTTTGACAATTTTTGATTTTTATCTTATACTATTATAATACTTATATCTGCGCAGAGTAAAAGATTAGAAATTATAAATATCTTTTTTAAACAATTTGGAATGCTTTAATAAAAGTTATCTTGTTTTGTTAAGTATGATAAAAAACATAAAAATTAAAATTTGGGTTCAGGCATTTGTCAGTTATTGTTTTGATTGCTATGAAAAATTAATTTTTCTTCTAAATAAAAGAAGTAAATTTGAAATACTGATTTTTACGAGAAGGGCTTAATAAAAACACAATATTTGAAAAATTTTGATATTCATTCGAATATATATTATATTTTCATGTAGCAGTTTCCTTATAAATAATTATGAATTCAAGATTCTACTGCAATAGCAGAAGTATGTCAATATTGAACGTTTTATTTATTTTATCAAATAGATTTAAAAGTATAATTTTTTTTTTTTAATCAAAACAGATCCTTTAAATTTGGTAGTTGTTAGTAAATTAGAAAGTTAAAACAATATCCAAAATTAGGAGATTGACATGGTAGTTAATTAATTTTAGTTTAGAAAATCAAATGGAAACAATGTTTAATTGAATTTTAAAATTAAACACTGTTTTTTATTTTGCTAGAAAAATAATATTATGTATTAAAAAATATTAAGCTTAATCTATTCATAAAGTTTAAATGAAAGTTAATCATAAATTGAGACTGAAATTCCAAAAAGATCATAAAAGTTATCATAAATGATTTCAATAATCAATATGAATGAATTTTTCTAATTTCCAGAGAAATTAATTTAAGATGCAACAATTATTATTAATGAATTCAGCAATGATAATATAGACATTTACATTTAAGGTAGATGTTATGAATAATTAGTGTAGATGAATCAATTTTGAAGATTTCTGGGTTTTTTACCATATTCATTAACTAGAAATCTTTTTAAATAGTTCTGAATTTTTCTTTTTTTTTGAATTACCCTTAACAAATTTTTAATGTTTCTATAGAAAATAAAAGCATAGATGGTAATTCATTTATATAAATTTTTTGCAGATAAAGAAGTTAAATTGTCATCTTTTTTTCATTCATCTTAAGGCGAAAAATGGATATCTTTAAATAATTATCTCACAGAATCCAAGCTTTGGCTTAATCATTAAAATGTAAAAAGAGTAATTTAAGAAGTCAAAGAATTACTAACAAATCACTTTCCATATCATAAACAAAAACAATAATAAAAATATTTTTCGAATGAGCTATTTGAAATGAATTAATAAAAATAAGCAGATTAAAAAGATAAAGATGAGTAAATTAATATAAAAGTTGAGATTGATAATCATGGAAAAGATATTGGTAACAAAAACAAATGTACTTCTCCTATTCCATTATACTCTTAAGGAATTCCTGGAACTGGTGGGTTACATTTAAAAGAAGAAAGCCAAATGTAGGTACAAATAACAAAATTTGCTATTTAATTGATGAAAGAGCATAGAAATGATATTGCTAGCCTAAAGCAATAATTGTAGAGTTTAAAATTGTATAAATAGCAACAAGAAGGAATATAAATTTAGATAATTTGGCTTAGATAAAAATTAGATTTTGACATTGAATTAGCAGCAAACTTATTTTACATGCAATAATAATAGATAAGTCTAATCAATAATACATAACAAAAGCCTTTGGATGAAATTATTGATTTTGATGATCTATCTCAGTAACTATTAGAAATAGCTGCTAAGGATAGGGCATGTTCAGATTGTTATTAATTTATTTCAAAGAAATTTAAAAAGCAGCTCTTAGACTATACAACCTTATATTAAGTATTTCTTTTTTATATTTAGGCAACCTACGAATTGGCTGGCTAGTAGTTTGAATTAAAATTATTGATGAATAAAATATATTATAATAAATTAACATGAACGATTAATTGAATGATTGGGATTTCTGCAATCCAAACAATTTTGTAGATAGATTACCTGAGCCTTTTAGGTAATGATAACATTTAGCATAAAGATTCATTAATAAAATCATCTAAAAAGATATTCTTTTAGAAGTGTATTCTAAAGTGTTCTTAATCGAAAAATACAGATCCGATCCAAATTATGAAGGACCCTTAAGAACTTTGCCTCCATAGGGAATTTTTGACATTTCAAATATTACTACTATAAGCTCAAATAGCTCTAATTTGCAAATTGCAGCAGGAGATTTACAAGGAAACATTGTAGTGTTAGATATGAGCAAGAAAACAAAAATTTGTAAAAAAGAGATTAGCTCAAAAAGGATAAATAAAGTTTGTTTGGGAATTAGAGACGGAGCAAATGATGAATAAAAAAATATTTGCATGTAACAGTTTCCAACATTTTTAGAATAGGAGTAATAAGTCATTTAGATCCAGTAGTACAAATATACAAATATAAACCAGGAGAGAACAAAATCAACTAAATTCATTTTATATAAGTCACAAAAAATTCAACTGTTATTGGTGAGCTTCCCATGGATATCGAAATCAGCAAATATTCTTAATATATATTAATAACACAATATAATGGTAATGTGCTTATTTATAAAATACCTGAATTAAAAGTGGATTAATAATAGACAATACAGGCAACATAATTATAGAATTAAAATACACTATTACCGCCATTGATAAATCAAAAATAACTGCCTACAAAGGAATAGTAGAAATAACTAATTCCATCAAATGCTTAAAATGATGTCACTGCAACTGAAATAATTGAACCCTTCTATTAGATAAAGTTTTAAGGCTTAAAGAAAGAATAAAAATTTAATGAAATTATAAATTCTTTCAAAGAATAAAATTTTCCAAAAGAAGTTGAAGTTAAAGAAGATAAAAAAAAATAACAAGCTAATACTTAACCATAAAAGAAATAGGAAACAGTTTAATAGATAAAAGAAGAATTAGGCTTAGAAGAAAATAATAATTTACTAATAATTAAGCATCAGTCTAAAGATGGTTATGATGTAAGCGATGAATATCCTCTTCAGAAATTTAAGCCTTATTGTGAGTTTCTATATGAGACAATTAAAGTTTAATAAGGGTCAAAGGCATTTGACAAAGTAATGATTTTGATATTTCATAGTACAAATAATATGAAGTTGTTGTTGGAATAGTTGTTGGATGGTCAAACACAACAAAATTAGAGCTCCATTACTTTAATTAACCAAAAAAAAATAATTTACCATAATATTTAATTTCGTAGTTAACTTAAGATTAAGATATTAAATTTCAGTTACCAATAATTAATAAAAAGAATGAAACAAGATAAATTGAAATTCCATTGATATATCCACTTTCTTGCTTAGCGATCTCTAAAAATTTTTCCTTATTAGGGTTAGGATTATAATAAGGGTCTATTTTGATTTATGATCTGATTTTCTAATAAGAAAGATTTTATCTTGACAAACATTAAACAATTGTGAGCCATATAGAATTTTGTGAGAATGAAAGACTTGTGAGTTGTTCTTACGATGGCAGCGTTCATATATATAATACGGTTGAAGGGACTACTTTGTGCAAAAGAACAAATTAATTTCGCAAAGGAACCAAAATAAATTATGAGGAATAAAAACAAGGATTTTGGAGAATAATATCATTATCAGTAAGTAGCTCTGGAATAGCAGTAGTGTAGGATGCCGAGTCAGAAGTAAGATTGTATGATGTTTGGAGAGGAGAAAAAATTGCTAAATTATCTCCTGTCTAAGTTATGGATGATTAAAAAAGAAAGTGGAGTAACTAAAAAGTAATTCTTAAATCTTTCAGAAGTAAAATATAATTTATTATTTTCCTAGATGAAATTCTGATTTCTGCTTAAGTTACTACATAAGAACAAAACAATATTTAAGATTAAATTCTAACAACAGTGTAGATCTTTAAGATTTTTGATAGTCTAGTAAATTTATTTCCATCATTATCAAATGTATACAGAAAAGGAGTTGAAAAAGAAAAAATTTTAAATTTGTTTGAAAAAATTCCAAAGTCAGAATTATGGAATGCACAGTTTGAAGTTCCAAATCTAAATGTATCTCATCAAAATGTAGCATTAAAAGTTCCCGGTTAAGATTCTAAAACCAGAACAGGATCTTAAATCTTGCATAATCAAAGCTAGCACAGTTAACCGTATTTATATTTATTTAAATAGAAAATTGAATTAAAGTAAAACATCATAACAAAAATTGAAAGAAGGTGTTAAAGATTCTCAGGCTGTGAATTTATAACAGGATATTTATGAAAATAGATCTGCCTCTTTAGTAGGATCTCTACATAAATCTGTACATTCTGATAAATTTGATTATAATTCCTCTTTTAGAAGCACTAATTCACCTTAAAACAATTTAAATTCGAACAAGACTCAAAAGAATAATTCAGCATAAATAGGTCTAACTAAAGAGATGCTTCATCCAGAAGAACATTTATTAGAAAAGTCTGAATCATAACCAGCTTAATTGATATTTGAGAATTCTTCTATGGTAGAGCATTGTAGATTAAGGAATTCTGAAAAACAACTAAGATCTGAAAAGGTCACCTAATCCCTTTTAAAGTTGGGTTAAAAATTAGCCCTTGAAGATGAAAAAATGAAGCTTTAAATCAGATATAGACAGCTTTAAAAAGCCAAGTGATATGCTTTTATTTTATTAAATCTAAATCACATGATCAAGTTAAAAAAAAATAGCCGCTTGCTATCCAAAAAAGTATGATTTTTTGATGAACTCTACTTAAATTCTTCTTTGTTCATGCATAAATAGTTATTTTTTTTAAATGCTATCGCAATTCAACCATTATTTAATAATTAAATTCTTCATATGGAATTTTTCTCGGATCTACTATCTTGTTTGTTTAGATGATTATATATAATCGATTAAAAATTTTTTCATAGCTATTTTTTAGAAAATGACACAAAGAGTTTTCAACTAAAGCCGAAGTATAAAGACTATCCTGATCTCCAGAAAATGAAATCTTCACAATGTGTTAATTTTTTGCCAATTAAACATAATTTTCATCTATCTATTAAAAGGAAATCTTATTTTTGTTTTTCGAATACAATTATGTAGTCTACAATCCCAAATTAATTTTCAACGTTTCAAATTTTGATGCTTTTAATCGAAACAATATTACATAGAGGAAATATTAGGGTTTTAAATGGTCTTTTATGATTTATTTTTCATCAAATTCATACTCTGAATTTATTCAGCTTTTTGTTCTTAAAATTGAAGAATCAAATAGTGGTTTTCAGGTTTAAAAACTTTAGTTGATTAATTTTATGGTAAAGTTAATTATTTATTTTCTTTATTTTAGGGGATATTTTTTATTAAGTGTGACTAATATGATGAAGTCTGTTTCTCATTTTCTGAGTTTGATTATTAATTTAATCAATAATCATAGATTCTCATCTATTTAATGATATTTTACTTTATTGGTTCTGTGTAATCAAGTTCTAAATTGTTCTCAGTAACAAACTTTGTAACCAAAATATCAGGAATAGAATCTTGAAATATATCGATTTAGTTATATTTATTATCTCCTAATTAGATTTTTAATGTGATTAATGGTTCACTATGAATTTGATCTTAGACCATTTTATTTGATAAATTTTTCTTCATGGATGTAAAATGGCTCATTAACGAATATTTTTTATTTATTAATATCAAAATTTGATTATAATCTTAAATATCAAACATATTATAATTATATCAAATCATTAACCAACCTATTCTTAAATATCATTTAAAATTTAAAGTACTTTTTCGCTTTATTATTTAATCCCATCAATCTACGATATAAAATATTTGTTACTCTTTGTTATAAAGATTAAATTTTTCTTTCTTCAATCATTTATTAATCTTCTAATTCTTCTTGAAGTTCTAGAGACTATCCAATAGGGAACCATGAATTATCTTAATTTTTTCTTTTATTTGCAATATATGTTTCTATTCCATTATATTCACTTTTATTTTTATTATCCATGTAAGCCATATAAAAGACATAATTCCACATATAATGACTTTATTTGATATGTTTATTAAAACCGTCATCTGATTTCATGTCAAAAATTTCTCTGTCAAGACCACAAATAAAACAAATATTTTCTTTGTCATCCTCTTTAGCTAATTACTATTCTCTCAATTCACCAAACGTATCAATAATAATACCAGAAAATATTTAAATGCTGATCATCTAGATAAGTATATTATTCAATTAATCAAAAAAAAATCTTCCATAACTATAATTTGCAGGATCTTATGGAAAATTCCCATCAAACCATCCTCCTATTCCTCCATTATTTTTAAATGCATAATCAAATGTTGAAAGAAAACAAACTAATAATGAGTCACATTTTCCTATATATAATGATTATAATACCATTTGTGTATATGTCAGAAAACAATAAATATGCCATTAAAGTGAAGTAATAATTCATTAATAGCACCAAAATAAATGTCAAACCTAAAGCTACTTTTGGCTCCCAAAATGATTTTATAATATTTCTTAGAGTAGGATATCTTAAAACCACTTCACTTAAATGAAAAGCAAAAAAGAATGGATGAACTAATGTTGCTATAAACGCCAAAACACCATATGCCAAATAATAAATCATATCTATATTTAATAAAACCTTAACCAAGCAAAAACCCACCATATATAATTTTAAAAAGAATCTTATGATCCAAATTTAATCCTCCTTAATTAAGTCCTTACTTTGATTCCATGCTTCCTTAACATACAATGGTCCTTTCTTAAGAATAAAAAATGAAACAACAAAGCATGAACAAACAATCATGCCAATCCCACAATATTAAAAAATTGACATGGTTTCTTCAACAGAAAGCATTTTTAAAAATTTTGGTGAATTTAATCTATCATAAAATCTTTAGTCTGGATCGTCAGAATCTCCTTCATAGTATGAAAGAACAATAAAGACGTTTAACACTAGAGTCAATAAAAAGCATAAATCTTTCCATAAAATAACATACTTTGCAAATAATGCAACAAACTTATTTTAATTAAAAAATTGTGTAAGTTCTTCTTCATGTTTAGCAACATCCATGAAATTTGGCATATTTTCAACCAAAGCACTCACTTTAGAATTAGTAGAATCTCTATCTACAGTTTCATGAAATTCAGTTTTTGTTTCTTAAGGTAAATAGTTACAAAATGATAATTTATAGAATATAATTTTTTCTATTTACTATTCCCGAATAACTTCAACAGTAGCAGAATTTTTTTGGAAAAACATTATGCTATCATTAAATAATTATTAAGCTGCTAACTTCTTTGCAGCCTTTCGTTTTTCTTCCTCCTCTCCACTTTCTTTTCCTTTAAATTATTTCATTAATTATTATTGTGCATATTCTCTCCATTCATTTATCATTTCTAAAATACCTCCAACCAATGAAAACACTAAACTCGCTAATTAACCAATAAGGGAATTTTATAACTAAGCCCAAGGATCTTCCTTGTCAGAGTTTTTTTGACTTTCTTTAATGTCTTCAAGCTCATCTCTGGTTGCAGGATCAATTTCTTTTGTATCTAAATTTGCATAATGATTAATCAAAAAGTAAATCAAAAATCCTGTCTCTAAGATTAGTTCATGATATTCTGGAGGCTTGGTTGAATCATGAGGATTTTCTTCAAGCTAAAATTTGATAAGAAATAATTACATGTCCTAATGATTCTTTATTATATCCTAATTTTTTGTACATTTTTTAGTGCTTTTTATAGATTATAATTAAATTCTTTTTAAGTACATTAATTGGTAAGGATCTTAATATACGTTTAATTGCATTAGTGTCTGAATTTAATTCTAATAATGAACTTACTAAAACCATGCATTTGTATTTTAATCTTTCCAACATCCATCTATCAATTTATATTGTTTTAACTTTTGCACCTGCTTTTGCAGTACTTTTAGACTACAATGAATTTGATCTTTCTCTTATTGAATGTTCTTCTTTTTCTTAAACACCATCCTAATCTTTTTTTTTTTTTGATTCTATGTGCATATTTAAATAATTAGAAGCTACATCTAAAAATAAAGAATCAATTATATCTTATTGATTTTATGAACAAGGACCTTAAACAAGCTCTGTTAAAGTTTCTAATGTGTTCATAATAACTTCAAAAGAATCTCTTTGCAAATCATTTTCAAAAGCACATAATAATTCAACCATAGCTTAGACAATATTGTAATTGTTTCTACTATTGTATTACTATCTAAGATAATTTTATATTTATAAATTGTGACCTTCACATATTAATTAAAAGTATTTAAGCAAATAGATTAGTATGCTCATTTTACTTCTTCTAGCTTCTTAAGCTTCTTTTGAAGTAGATTCATCCTCATTTTATTATTCTTATATACTTGACAAATAAAGTTATTTTTAATGTTAATCCTTATCTTTTTAACTTTTTTATTACATCAATACTTATTAGGTTTTTTTATTTTCATTAATTACTTCATAAATTATTTGATTCATTTTTAAAAAGATCATCTCAGATTTCTCAAAATTACTAAAATAATTAAATACAGTTGTTTGTATTCTTTGATTACCATTTTTGCTTAGCTTTAAAGCAAATTTAAATAATTATATTAATAAATCATCATCGAAAGGATAAACTTAAAAGTCAGCCAATAGATTTAAAAACATTCTAGTAGCTTAACAGGAATCAAATTCATTTTGAATTTTTTCTAAATCATCTTTTGAATCTAAAATATCTTCTAAAAGTTATAATGTATATATTAAATTTGACTTATTTGCTTTATTAATAATACCTACTTCTATAAATCTAATTAATTTTTTTAGAAAATCCTTAAAGCAAAAGTTTTACAGACCTAATTCTTTAATCATAGCATCAGGTATGAATTTATGCACTTCTTAGAATGTTTGACTTAAGATTCTCATTTCAATAGATTAAGTTTTTTTGGTTGATTAAAGTTATTAACATTCTTCTAAAAATTTTTCCCATGCTTTTTTTGTATTCCAATCAACAATTTCCTAATTTAGTTAATCAATATCAGTTTTATTATTTGTCCGTTTTAATTTTTCATCCTTCTCATTATGAATTAAGGGAGAATCCTTTTTTTTTTAAGTAAAAATTGTTTAATTTTCTTCTTCTACTTAAGGTTTCGCAAATTCCTATTATTATAGTGATTAAGATATCTATCCTGCATTATCAGTGAGGGTTTATTCATCAAGAGAATGAACAAATTCTACCAAATTATTATATTAATTAACTTTTAGCTTATGTTAAATCAATGTATTACACATACCAAGAATTATATTCATTATATCTTTTAATTCCATATAATCTGTTCTTTCTCTATATTCTGAACCTGAATCTTTTGTAATAACTTTTTTTGAATAATATTTCATTAAAACAATTACATAATCAAAAAAGTATTGCAAGTATTATTCAAAGTCCCCTTACAATGATTATATTTTAACTAATCTACTTTTTTCTTAGGCAAAAAACTCTGTAAATTTATGTTATTCTTTTATAAATAAATATAAATCTGTAACCTTATTATTTACATAAAGTAGATTGGCCATTTCAATAATTTAAGGTTTAATATGTTTTATACCACTAATCATACCCAAATTAACATCAACCAATCCTTCCA